ATAGAAAACAATAGAATTAGCATACATATTAGTAATACTAACATTTCACAGTTATCTTGTTTGGATTCTAATTCATTTCGTTCACAGCATTATTCTCTCGTTTGTAGAGTAAAACACGACTTTTGCGGTCAAACACTATTTTGGCTTCTTTTCAGTACCAGGAGAGATTTGTTTTGAGTTTTGAAGGTGAACAATCTGGATTCCTTGTGTATTTTATTTAATTTGACTTACGTTTAACTTTAGATGAAAAAAAAAAAAAACTCGAAAAAGCCTCTTATGGTCTCTTATTAATATCTTTATCTATGTATCTTTCATGAGATACATGAGATATATTTTGTAACTTTTTATCTTCGTAACCCTGTAACTCTGTATCTTTGTATCTTCGTAACTCTGTTGTATCTCGGTAACACTGATTAGACTAAGCCCTCTTTGAAAAGCCCCAAGGTTCCTAAAACCAATACATTATTGATAAACATGGTAAGCTGTTTGTTAAATAAACATTTTCCTTCCGTTGGTCAAAACTTAGCAAATGAAATCCCTTATTCCTATACCAACTTCACTGATTATCTATAGAACTAATCACATCAGTCAAAAGGAACACAACTTATGGCGTCCCACAATTAAAAGGCTCTGTCCTTGACCGTTTATTATTCCTTTTATTTATTAATGACWTTGTCAATGCTTCTCATCACAAGAACCTGAAACACCTTGAAACTACAACGAACATTGAACTGACTAAATTATGTGATTCACTGACCACCAATAATCTAACCTTGAATATTAAAAAATCCAATTTCGTTATTTTCCGAACTCATCAGAAGAAAAAAATCACTTCAGAATCAAAGATCAATGTATCTAAAAATATACCTTGAATTGTTAATTTACAGTAAGCTCTCTTGGAATTATCACATGTATAATACTAAAATTATTAAATCAGTTGATCGCTAAACTTAGACATAGTATACCTCACAAGATACTTTCATAACTCTATGATAAATGGTGTTAATCCATGCACCCTTATACCACTTGAATACCATGTATTTTTATTCACTAGCAAATTTAAAGCATGATGTTGTCAATAAGAAAGCTCCAACTAACCTATGTAATCAGTTTACTTGTAAACTAGTTAGTGAAATCCATTCGCATATGCATCGACTTCATTCTACACTAATTCATCCAGACTAAGAGAGAATTCTTTTCGTATTCAAGCGGTGAGCGCCAAAAACTATTTTCTTGAAGAAAGGCTCCGTTGTACAAGGCTAAAATCTTGTTATTCAGAAAGTTTAACTTGTTTGGAAGTGGAGATGACCGATGAAAGTTGAATCAAAGTGTTAAACCCTAAGCAAAAATTTGAATCGAAAATGAGATTTACGCCTTCATTTGCTTATTTACCATACATTCCCTATAAAAAAGCCTGACAAAGCAACATCCTAACACAAATGCAACAAAACATCTTTGTACAATTGAAAATACCGCTTCAAACAAGCATTTTATCATAGTACATCAGTTTCTAACTGTTAAAAAAAGGTTTTGAGTGTTAACCCAAAACGAAAATTGGGATCAAAACTCATATGAAGGTCGAGTTTTTGTCGCTTTTTGCCATTATTGCTCGTTATTGAAAAAAATTTCCTCTTAAACTAATTCCGCTCTAGATGGGGTGTAAGATTTTGGAACTCTAAAAAAACCTTCAACACCAACAACACTTGTACGAAAATGTTACTTCTAAGATTTCGGCTTTCTTTGTTCAAACTTGAGTCTGATGAACGTTAACTTATATGTACTCACTAAGAATATATTTCTTGTAAACTTCCTCAGATGAGCTCCATAAACTCCTTCTCAATCTTTATTTTGTCTCATAGTATTTTTCCCTCTCTTTTTTTTTTTTTTTTTTTTTTTTTTTTTTTTTTTTTTTTTTTTTTTTTTTTTTTTTTTCCCTCTTAATTTTCGTATTTTATATATTTGTGTATACATTTGCAGTTTATTGTTAATCATATTAATCAATCGTAAATACACTTACCCGGCCGCCTCGATTAGTTTTTACTATTTGCAGGTCAGTGGTGTATATAGTTCAATGTAAATTTTACTTCATTTGAACTTGAACTTACATGTGAACGTGAAACTTGAACTAGCTCTTCCCATTCGCGACACAAGGGTTTTCTCTTCTTGTTGGCTCTCTTTTTTAGTTCTTTCTTCTTTCCTTGCTGTTTACGACTGGACTCGACTATAAACAACAGTAGTATAGGCCGCACGCACAACCCCTTTTTTAGGTGGGCTAGTGGTGGGCACATTAATTATTCATCAAATATTAGCAAAAAGCGACGGGTAGGTATTGTTTCGGGTTACCATGGAGACCAATTGACGTCATAAGACTATTGTTGACCGGTATGAACAGAGTTAATATATTGCTTACTATCAATCACGTGATTTTTTGGAGTTGACTGGGGGGGCAAACAAGCGGTTGACTGGGGGGCAAACAAGCGGTTGACTGGGGGGCAACTAGCGGATGCTTAGTCAAAACATATCAAAATAAGTCCTCAACCTATTGTATTTGACTATTTTCACGACATCGAACCAGAAAACAAGAGATCAAAACAACCTTCAGGATTCTACAAGACATTAAAAAAGAGCCATTACCGGAAGTGACGTCTATTGATAGCAACCTATTAACTCTGGTATGAACAAGTCTTTGTTTCAGGAATAGTGGGCCAGTGATGGGCACATCCATTGTTTATTAAATCGTTACCATAAAATGACGAGCAGACTATTGTTTATTAAATCATTAACATAAAACGACGGGGAGACTATTAATCGTAACATTTGATATTTCAAAATATTTGGTCGACTTAATAATTGGCTATGAGCCGTATTTTTGGACAATTGTGTTATCTTAATTTACATGCTCGTAAATTCGAATCTACTCGATGAATTTTTTTWAAATTCAGTCAATATTGACTGCAATATATAGGCAACAAGATGTCAAAATTGCATTTTCATTGAATCTTTTTAAAGCTTTCAAACTTTAATCCGCATCGAGAACTGTACAGGACGGGGAATCTCTTTAGCCCTTGTTTATTTGTTTTTTCATCGCTATTGTCCTCTTTCATCACATCCGCGTAAATTCCAGTGTGCTGTATGAGCTGGTCAATCATGGTCATTGCTGTAAAATTGCTTTCCGAAAATGTTGCCGAACTATGTAAATTAAGCACCGCGTTACTCAATTTGTTTAATTTGTGGCATGTCTACACCAGTAAAGAGTTTGTAAATCCCTTTCCAAGTACCTTGATATAAAAATCCCGTGTCTATCGATATGTTTTAAAGCGCAGAGAACCAGATACTGCATGACAAAGTCTTGTGATTCTTGGTTGCTTAATTTACATAGATCGGAAATTTAACTTTCGGAAAGCAATTTTACAGCAATTTACAGTTATGAAGCTTTTACACAGAGGGCAGAGGGGGGCATCTTATCTTTCATTGTTATATTATTTACCGCTGTACATAATATGAGTAAGCGTGAGCCCGTCGGATATCGCGTGCTTCAACGTTGTATATTGTAAATATAGAATGTCTTCTCGTCTAGACCAATGTAACAGTCTTCTTTACGGATTACCTAATTATCAGCTTGAGAAACTCCAACATGAACAGAACTGTGCTACTAGATTAGTTATTCGTAGCAACAAGTATGCACACGTTACACCTATTCTGCGCGAGCTACACTGGCTGCCAATCCATGCCRGAATTGAATACAAGATAATACTCTTGACCTTTAAGCTAAGGAATTGATGGTTTTCAACCATTCCCAAGAGAATTAAATTACAAAAGACACGGCGGCCATGTTGGAGGATATAACAAAAGAATTGATTGACAATTCTTTTGTTAAGTTCCTCCAACATGGCCGCCATGAAAACCATCAATGGCCTGGCTCCATAGTACTTACAGTCTCTTCTGACACCGTACACTTCCAAAAGGCATGTACGATCGTCAGCAAAGAACTTGCTAGAGATTCCTATTGCTAGAACTAAATCATAYGGCGAGAGATCATTTTCTATTGCAGCCCCAAGACTATGGAACGCT